ACTGATGTCTCACATGACCATAATGTCTGTCCATACACATGGGACACTTTGGCTATGTGCCTGAGAAGTGATGGATATAGTGAGGAACAGAGGTATATAAACACCCTGTGATTTTGCAAGTTCTCCCACTTAGAAATCATGGAGGGGTCTGAAATTCACATTGTAGGTGCATTCCCACTCTGAGAGACAGAATTTAAAAAAAAAAACAGGAAATCACATTGTATGATTTTTAAAGAATTTATTTGTCTTGCACTGCTGAACATAAGTGTTTGAACACCTGAGAAAATCAGTGTTAATATTTGGTACAAAAGCCTTTGTTTGGAATTACAGAGGTCAAATGTTTCCTGTAGTTCTTGACCAGGTTTGCACACACTGCAACATTTTGGCCCACTCCTCCACACAGATCTCCTCTAGATCTGTCAGGTTTCGGGGCTGTCACTGAGCAACATGGAGTGTCAGCTCCCTTCAAAGATGTTCTATTGGATTTAGGTCTGGAGACTGGCTAGGCCACTCCAGAACCTTGATATGCTTCTTACGGAGCCACTCCTCAGTTATCCTGGCTGTGTGCTTCGGGTGGCTGTCATGTTGGAAGACCCAGCCACGACCCATCTTCAATGCTCTGACTGAGGGAAGGAGGTTGTTGCTCAAAATCTCACAATAAATGGTCCCATTCATCCTCTCCTTAATAGAGTGCAGTCGTCCTGTCCCCTTCGCAGAAAAGCACCCCCAAAGCATGATGTTACCACCCCCATGCTTCACAGTAGGGATGGTGTTCTTGGGATGCAACTCATCCTTCTTTTTCCTCCAAACACGAGTGAAGTTTAGACCAAAATGTTCTACTTTGGTCTCATCTGTCCGCATGACTTTCTCCCATGCCTCCTCTGGATCATCCAGATGGCCATTGGCAAACTTCAGACGGGCCTGGACATGTGATGACTTGAGCAGGGGAACCTTCCATGCAATGCATGATTTGAAACCATGACGGCGTAGTGTTCTACCGATAGTGACCTTTGAAACTGTGATCCCAGCTCTCTTCATGTCATTGACCAGCTCCTCCCTTGTAGTTCTGGGCTGATTCCTCACCTTTCTTATCATCAGTGATACCCCACGAGGTGAGATCTTGCATGGAGCCCCAGTCTGAGGGAGACTGACAGTCATCTTTAGCCTCTTCCATTTTCTAACAATTGCTCCAACAGTTGATGTATTTTCACCAAGCTGCTTGGCAATTGCCTCGTAGCCCTTTCCAGCCTTGTGGAGGGCCACAATTTTGTCTCTGGTGTCTTTTGATAGCTCTTTGGTCTTGCCTATGGTAGTAGTTGGCATCTGACTGACTGTGGGGTGGACAGGTGTCTTTAAAGAGCTCAGACAGGTGCTACCAAGTTAGATTAATGAGTGGAGTAGAGGTGGACTTTTTAAAGGCACAGTAACAGGTCTTTGAGAGCCAGAATTCTTGCTGTTTCTTAGGTGTTGAGATCTGTGTGGAGGAGTGGGCAAAATGTTGCAGTGTGTGCAAACCTGGTCAAGAACTACAGGAAACATTTGACCTCTGTAATTCCAAACAAAGGCTTTTGTACCAAATATTAACACTGATTTTCTCAGGTGTTCAAACACTTATGTTCAGCAGTGCAAGACAAATAAATTCTTTAAAAAATCATACAATGTGATTTCCTGTTTTTTTTTTTTAATTCTGTCTCTCAGAGTGGAAATGCACCTACAATATGAATTTCAGACCCCTCCATGATTTCTAAGTGGGAGAACTTGCAAAATCGCAGGGTGTTCAAATACTTCTGTTCCTCACTGTATGTTTGATTGTTTACATGCCATTGAAGAAAGATATCTCTTTTGTCATACACTTAACTGTGGTTGCAGAATAATTTTGCACTCTTTAAAGATGACATGTCTACAAAGAGGACATTTATGTGCTCCTTTCTAGTAAAACAGTTTAATTAATTATTTTCAAAAGAGCACATTGAAAATGCATGCTGACAAAACACGAAGATGTTCTATAAACCTCTGGGGAAAATGATCTTTTTGCAGTTGCTATTGATGAGCGAAATGCCATGAAATTAGATACTCTACAATGACACAAGACAAAGCAATTATACACATAGTTTATTTATATGACTTTCAAAGTGGAACTCAAGATAAATAGCAAAATACACACATGCTTATTATTCTATGTGGCTAAGAATTTACAATTCTATAAAGCCAGTTACATACTTCTGCTATAGGATACTTAGAATCAAACTCTAGTCATGGGTTCTATGTGTACAGAGAGAGAATTGGCAAACTGCCCCCTTCATGTTTTACAACACTAGCTATGCTTGTCTTGGGTGACTGTGATGTCTGATTTTGATAGTGAGATATTAAAAAGCTAGTTATTTGATTGAGACAGCAGTGGGGCAGCTTAAATTGACATATGGGGAAAGGGAATATACAGTTGTGTTCAAAATAATAGCAGTGTGTTGAAAAAAGTGAATAAAGCTCAAAATCCTTCTAATAGCTTTTATTTCCATACACACAAATGCATTGGGAACACTACACATTCTATTCCAAATCAAAACATGAAGAAAAAATATATATCAAATTTGTGTTGTTCCTCTAAAAAAATTGAAGAAAAGTGAATATTAGACTGTTCAAAAAAATAGCAGTGTTTGTATTCTTCTTTACAAACTCAAACATTCACTATATAAACTGAAAAATGTTTGAAGATTTTGCTTTCCTTTGAATCACTTAATAATATTTAGTTGTATAAGCACTGTTTCTGAGAACTGCTGTACATCTGTGTTGCATGGAGTCAACCAACTTCTGGCACCTGTGAACAGGTATTCCAGCCCAGGATGATTGGACTACATTCCACAGTTCTTCTCTATTTCTTGGTTTTGCCTCAGAAACTGCATTTTTGATGTCACCCCACAAGTTTTCTATTGGATTAAGATCCGGGGATTGGGCTGGCCACTCCATAACGTCAATCTTGTTGGTCTGGAACCAAGATGTTGCATGTTTACTGGTGTGTTTGGGGTCGTTATCTTGTTTGAACACCCATTTCAAGGGCATTTCCTCTTCAGCATAAGGCAGCATTACCTCTTCAAGTATTCTGATGTATTCAAACTGATCCATGATCCCTGGTATGCGATAAATAGGCACAACACCGTAGTATGAGAAACATCCCCATATCATGATGCTTGCGCAACCATGCTTCACTGTCTTCACAGTGTACTCAGTGGTGTATTTTGGTTTTGTGCTGCCCTAGGCAAGACTAAAATCGGGCACCCCCCCGCATCTAAATTTGCCCCACCCTTTCACCTGCAAACTCCACCCCTTCCTCTTTAGGCTCCACCTATTCCTATTAGAGCTCCACCCACTGACAACAATGGCCCGCTATTCCTCCCACTGACACCAATGAAGGGGCATGATTCCTCACACTGACACCAATGGTGGTGCCCCATCATTAGTGTCAGTGTGTGAGGAATAGTGCCCCATCATTAGTGTCAGTGGAGGAATAGTGCCCCATCATTGGTGTCAGTGGGATGAATAGTGCCCCAACATTGGTGTCAGTGGGAGGAATCGTGCCCCATCATTAGTGTCAGTGGGAGGAATAGTGTCCCATCATTGGTGTCAGTGGGAGGAATAGTGCCCCGTCATTGGTATCAGTGGGAGGAATAGTGCCCCATCATTGGTGTCAGTGGGAGGAATAGTGTCCCATCATTGGTATCAGTGGGAGGAATAGTGCCCCATCATTGGTGTCAGTGGGAGGAATAGTGTCCCATCATTGGTGTCAGTGGGAGGAATAGTGCCCCATCATTGGTGTCAGTGGGAGGAATAGTGCCCCATCATTTGTGTCAGTGGGAAGAATTGTGCCCCATCATTGGTGTCAGTGGGAGTAATAATGTCCCATCATTGGTGTAAGTGGGAGGAATAGTGCCCCATCGTTAGTGTCAGTGGGAGGAATAGTGCCCCATCATTGGTGTCAGTGTGAAGAATCATGCCCCATCATTGGTGTCAGTAGGAGGAATAGTTACCCCATCATTAGTGTCAGTGGGAGGAATAGTTACCCCATCATTAGTGTCAGTGGGAGGAATAGTGCCCCATCATTAGTGTCAGTGGGAGGAATAGTGCCCCATCATTGGTGTCAGTAGGAGGAATAGTTACCCCATCATTAGTGTCAGTGGGAGGAATAGTGCCCCATCATTGGTGTCAGTGGGAGGAATAGTGCCCCATCATTGGTGTCAGTGGGAGGAATAGTGTCCCATCATTGGTGTCAGTGGGAGGAATAGTGCCCCATCATTGGGGTCAGTGGGAGGAATAGCGTCCCATCATTGGTGTCAGTGGGAGGAATAGTGTCCCATCATTGGTGTCAGTGGGGGGAGGAATAGTGCCCCATCATTAGTGTCAGTGGGAGGAATAGTGCCCCATCTTTGTGTCAGTGGGAGGAATAGTGTCCCATCATTGGTGTCAGTGGAAGGAATAGTGCCCCATCATTGGTGTCAGTGGGAGGAATTGTGCCCTATCTTTGGTGTCAGTGGGATGAATAGTATCCCATCTTTGGTGTCAGTGGGAGGAATAGTGCCCCATCTTTGGTGTCAGTGGGAGGAATAGTGCCCCGTCATTGGTTTCAGTGGGGGGGAATAGTGTCCCGTCAGTGGGGGGGATAGTGTCCCAACATTGGTGTCAGTGGGAGGAATAGTACCCCATCATTGGTGTCAGTGGGGGAAGGAATGGTGTTCCATCATTGGTGTCAGTGGGGGGAGGAATAGTGCCCTATCGTTGGTGTCAGTGGGCGGAGGAATAATGCCCCATTGTTGGTGTCAGTGGGGGGAGGAATAGTGCCCCATCGTTGGTGTCAGTGGGGGGAGGAATAGTGCCCCATCATTGGTGTCAGTGGGGGGAGGAATAGTGCCCCATCGTTGGTGTCAGTGGGAGGAATAGTGCCCCATCGTTGGTGTCAGTGGGAGGAATAATGCCCCATCATTAGTATCAGTGACACCAACGATGGGGCACTATTCCTCCCAATGACACTTAACTTGCTGACCCCTGCTCCAGCCTAGGTGCTGCTGCAGCCAGCATACCTGGTTGCAGCAGCACCATCAGCACGGCACACTTACCAGGCGGTCAGCTGTCCTGCTTCATTCACTCCGGGCGCTCACCTTATTACCATTCTCTACAGCTACAATAACTTTTTATATTTCCTAGATCGGGGTCAGAAACCAGGCAACTGGTGGATCACGGTCTGGGCTTGCTGACCCACCATCCCACAACATCAAACAGAGTGCAATGCAGAGGGAATACTTGCAAAGTTGGAGCTGTAGTAGGGAGCAAGAGCCCCATAAGCCAATGCCTCCTCTGTAGTGCTGTCTCCTGTCCCATGCGAAGTGATACCAAGTGCACTTCATCTCTTATCCTGGCTAGGTCTCCAGAGTGGTGCCAGCAGCAAGAAAGAAGAGATCTTCAGGTCAGTGTGAAGCAATACACTGGATGCAGGAGTTTTGGTTTACTTTCACAAAGTGCACCACATCTGCAGGATATAATAGAAGTCCAAGGCAAAGAGCAGCTAACCCAGGAAAGTCGCAGATGCACTGTGCTGCAAACGCGGTGCAGGTAAACCACAGCTCATCAGTGTGAAAGCAGTCTTATAGGGGGATCAGAATAGTAAGGGTTAATTTATATTTGCAGTTTGGGGGTGGTAAAGCCCCATAGTTGAAAAATGTTTTTACCAAACCCACCCCAACTGCACCCTTTTTAGCTGCAGTGGCCAGGGATGTACACATTTTTCAGTCATAGCAGGAGTTATACGCCCTGTCATGGTTGGTGGGTGTAGCACCTGCCAAGCATGACCCATTCTAGTGACCTTGTGCATATAGCAAACAAGGGGTAAAAGCAGGCAGTGTTGTGTTGCTTTCTCATCACCTGCTTTAACTCCTTTGACCCTGCAGAAGAATGCAGGTGTGGGACGCTTGTGGAGTGGCCCCATTTACTTGATTGGGTTGCGATTAGCTGGCAGTAGCACCCACCTAAAGCAACAAGGGGCTTAATTCCTGCTGCGGCATGTGTACACATTTGGCTCCTGCCTCAGCAGTTAAAGGTGGTAGGGATTGGAAAACCGTGACTCAACTGCAGGGTTTTACCACCCCCCAAATGTACGTGTGAATGTGCCGCTGCCGAATGCAACTAAGGGCTCGTTCACAAGTGCAGCAGCCACTGCTGCTTCTTTAAAAAGCAATCTTAATGTGTTTGCTAGGTGGTAAGGAGGTGATATATATTGCCTCCTTACCACCTGATTTAAACACATGATTGCAGTGCAATGCACACGATTGCGACACGGTAGTATGGCAATTAGAGGTTTAAATCAGGTGTGAGGAGACTAAACAGGGCGACAGTGTGCCCGGTGATCTTTGACTTCTCCCATGTTGTTCAGATAGATCTCCACCTCTTTACGGTTGCCTACCCTTGTCCAAGATGATCAATTTGGCTGCAGGGTGCAAAGATAATGACAAGTACTTCCAGGTACGTGAAGCATGTGACTCATTTCCCTTTCTCTGACATGACTGCACTGATGTTTGCTGAATACCTGCTCAAGCACAATTTGCTGTCATATCATGGTAGTGAGAGAGCCTTTATCCTATTATAAGCTTTGAGACATACGTTGGTACTGACACAATAATTTCTCTCTTTGCTGGCAAATCAAATTCACTTTAAAGTATAACTAAAGTCTCCTGTATGGCTCATATACTTCATGTCAAAACAAGAACCAAATCTGTGATGCACAAGCCTAAAGTACATACAAAAATTCATCTTCCTTTGCTGTGCCATATCCTTCTTCATTTGTGCCTCACATGCTCCCCCTCTCAGACACTGCAGCTTCCAGTGGGAGGTAATATAAGAAATGCTATCAGTTTAGAAGTCAGTGGGCAGGACTAGGTGTGGTTAAGTGCTGATTGACAAGTTACACGTTTGTGAGTCAACAGTGACAATACTGATAGCTATGCTCACTGCAAGATTTTTCTGTCCCACTGTAGTGCAAGCAGAGGTAGCCTACATGAGAGTGACAGCTCTGCTCTGATTTCAGGAGCAGTGCAGCATTGTTGCCACACCATCACAGAGGATTCATCAAGTGAACTTAACTGGTAAGATCAACAAATATTTGTGGGACTTTGCATGGGAGCTAAGAGAAAACTGTAAGAGCAGATGCACTTGTAATTAAATGCTCCAGCACATACAGTATTTTTAAATGGAAGGCCATTCTTCTTTTTTAAATGGTCATATATAATTAGTCTTTATAATTCTCTGTAATTATATATTTCTGACTGTAGAGTGGAGTAGACTGTGGTGTTTCTATAAAGTAACCAGTAATGTCTCACAATTCTATACTATATATTGTAATTTTTTTATATGATATTAGAACAATTATTTTCAAATAGACTTGAGGATTATTGGTTGATTTCTTTATAAATGTCTGGCTCTGTGCTGTCCCAGTAGATAGAGATGACCTTAGTTAATTAAACTCTCACATCTGTATTATGGTTTGGATACATGCCTAAGGTTGATGGCCATGCTCTATACTCCTTCAAGCATTGCCAGAACACCCACAGTGCAAAAAGAACACTAATTCAGATATCTGCATTCTATATCTACAGTATATAGAAATTATTTTTAGCTCTTTTGTTACCATAGTCCTGCTTTTTCAACCAAAGTTGGTCAAGCAGTTTTCACATTTTTTTTTTACAAATACTAACAAAATACACAGTACTTACTTTAACTTTCGCTAATCACCCCCAAAACAAAATATTTTATGAAAGCAGAAACCTGGTAAAATTAAAGGAAAAATATGTTTTAGTAGTTTGTGACAATTTATTTATGCTTTTTGCTTTCTAATCTTCAACTGATTGGCGCTCACTGTAATTTTGAGTGTAATCCCAATTTCTGATCAGAGGTGCACTTTATTACTTTAATCTCCAGACCAAAAATTATCCCCAAAGTGAAAGATAGAGTTGGTAGATTCCAGCGAGTTTTATTCAGCCTTTGAAAGCTGTAGGAAAAGATTCCTCCTGCCCAATAGAGCAGCAAAATAATTATACTAATAATTACTACATGAACTGGCTGGCAGACAGTATGCCAATTTACCTGATTTCTCTCCATTATATGAATTTATTGCTACATAACTGGTTTAAAGTGACCGGTCACTTCCAAAAAAACAGTAAACAATGCAGTGCTTGTAAAAGAACACAATTAACACTCACCTGTCCTGCTGCCCATGGCCTGATCTTTGCACCCACTGCCTGAGCATTTTTCTGCATTCAGTACTTCCAGGAGTGTTGATCTCCAGGTCCCCTGCTTTGCTCTGTGGTTCCTCTCACTGACTCCTATGTCACTACAGGACACAATAGTATTATAAGGGACAGTAGATGGCATCTCAGACTTCAATCGGTATTCGACACACTGGGAAGTGTTTGATACATAAGATTCTTCACCAAAGATAAATAGCAAAGATTGGAGAAGTGGGCAGAAGGCCAAGGAAGTATCAACTGTGTTCTTTTACACCATCCAAATAACAGGCTGCACCCAAAGATGTTCAACTCCAGCAAAGGTTATCTCAATGATAGCACACCATTTACGCCCACCCAAAGCCATGCCCCCAACATGTTTAACCCACAGCAGGGCTTAATGGGAAAGCTCTGCGTTGGTGAAACATGTTGGAGGCATGGTTTTGGGTGGGATTGAGTGCTGTGTTGTCATTGCAATAAACCATTCCAATACGCCTTGGCTGGAGTTAGACCTCTTCTTTGTGCAGCCCGTTATTTGGGTGGTGGATTTCAGAGGAGCAAGAGTGGATTCCAAGGCCTTGGCACACAGCTGATTGCAGGGAATCAAGAAAGATACAGACTGGCCTGTGAGCCACGAAAGGAGTTGAGTTCTTTTACAAGCACTGCATTTTTTTTTTGGAAAAGACCGAGTAAGGCTGAACTCCAGGTATGGTTTTTAATGCATACTTACATTGGTCCAGCTTGAGCCTATGTAAGTATTCATATCTCATGCATTGGGGAACTTGACAATCACTAATAATCGGTGCTACTACAGTGACAACTTCTATGCTGAGGGTGTCGCCAGCTTGGCACTGCCACCATTCAGAGAACAGCTTGTATTTCTTTTAATGGATATAAAGCATGTGTTGATTCAATCAAGTGCAGCCTACAGCGTGCATGCCACACACAATCAAGAGTCAGGAGTGAAGATCTGGCATTCTAACCCGTGATTGTTTTGTAGATGCATATAAGATCTTGCCATCTATGGTCACAATTTCTGTATTGTGCACATTTTCCACTGTAACTAAAGATAAATGGTCTGGTGCAGAGAAGAAAAATGTTTGCTTTGTCAATTTGGATCCATCAGTGTGCCCATAATGTCAAAGTTTATATTTGAAATTACTTTAAAAGCAGATTCTGGAGATGAAAGGGTTCCTGACAGTATTCAGCAATTGTTTTACATCTGGATTTAATAAAGACTGGAGAATGGAACTGTGCAGAAACAAAATCCCTCCTACAAGGAAAAGTAGCCAGAAATTCCAGAGCTGTGGGCTGGAAGCTGAGCAGGAGAGCACAACTGTGCCCAAACTCTTTCACTATTGGTAAGAGAACTGCCTGCTGGAATAAGAACATCTTACAAATCAACGACGGAGGGAGCCAAAGATGGCTGGGATTGTGGCCTGCGTCCTCCTTTCCCTTGTCACCATGGTGCATTCCCAAGTACAGACAGCATTTCTGGAGTACGTGCAAACAAGGATGGGAGTTTTAGAGGTAAGTGTGACTAGTCCAATCAGATGTTGCTCTGTAGTATTCATACTCTTTTTCCAGTTATCGATAGTGGTGTATGATGTGAAAACTTTATGAACACATCCACCTAGTGTAAAAGTCTTGCATATCAAAAAGACTTGGAAGGTTTTGCAATTTAAATCACACACATTTACTAGATTTATATCCTTTTTTAAAAAAAAAAATGTATAACGTGATGCTGACAATATAGGTCACGACGTATTAAAGGCCTAATTGTCAGTGTAGTTGTTGCCTTTTCAAATATAAAATTCAATACTGGAAAATTCCATTTTTTATCTTTTTTTTTTCTTTGTTAAAAAGAGTGTCTATGGTTAATATTCCCTGTATGTTTGCAATGAACATTTGCTTAGCTGTCATAGAAATAGCTTTCAGTTAATCTTCACTATAGCTTCGAAATTTGGCACTGAAAACTAGTAAAAGAGTTAAAGGGAAAAATCCCTAGCATGGTTAGTCACAGGCATATCAATGGTTAACTCCTTGAAGTAAAAATGTCCCTCAAAACAGGAAGAGAGTGGAAAATCAAACTTCCAGGGGAAGCAAGTTACGGTATGTATCAGGTTTGAGAATGTTTCGAACTATATCAGTATAAAATTGGATGCAGAGCCATTTAAAGGACCAAAGCGTATCGAAATTGGTTATGGAATTTATAGGCACATAGACTCAGTACCAAAATTTGTAAATACAATTATTACTTTATTAACATACCATATCTGCAATAGTAATATGCATTGCACATATAATCACAGCTTTAACCCCCCATAAAGTATAGAAATACAGTTTTCTATTGGAAAGGACCAGAAAACTGAAAATGCATTGAGCCACCAGTCATTTTATTAAAAGAAAAATAAATTATAACTCCTACAAAGAAATTGTATTAATATTGTATGTATATGTATGTATGGTGCAATATAATATTGCAAACAAACACATACAGTATATATATATGTGTGTATATATAATTTTTTTTTTTTACCTTACGATGTACCATTTAACCACTTCCCATCCGGCTGTTGTATATAAACTGCCGGACGGTGGCAGTGCAGGGGCGGGTTGCCGTTCATAAACGGAGCCTGCCAATTTGGACTGTGCTCACTCCCTGGGAGCGCGCGCGGCACCGCGATCCAGTGCCTGCTGTGTCTGGAGGACACCGATCGCTGTACGTGACCTCTGTGTTAGGTCCCAATCATGTGATCACTGATTGGCCAATCAGTGATCACATGAATAGGTGTAAGCAAGATGTCACTTCTGACATCATTGCTTACTACGTGTGAAATCTGTGAATGATCACAGAGATCACATGGTACAAGACTATTCACAACAGCCTTGTACCATGTGACAAGGTGTGACCAATCACAGCTCACACAGTATTTCTCAATGGCTGCAAGAATGCAGCCAGAGAGAAGGAGAAATGTATTGCTTTTACAGCCTTTGTGGGTGTAAAAGCAATCAGTGTAAAAAAAAAAAAATCTTCATCACCCCCCACAAGTAGTACAGTGTCACTATGGTGGCACTGTACTGCTAGGGTGACAGTATGTTAAATAAAAAAAAAATATACATTATAATATAAAAAAATAAAATAAAAATTTAAAATTTTTTTTTTTTCAAAATTATAATTTTTGGTTATAAACTAATTTGGGTTATTTTTTTTTTACGAAAAAGATAACTGAATATGTTTTGGCCAAGATTTATGAAGAAAGATTATTTGTTTGCAAAATTTTATAAGAAAAACACTTTTTTTTAAACATTTTTGGACTTTTTCATTTATATAGCAAAAAAATAAAAATCCCAGCGGTGAATAAATACCACCAAAATAAAGTTGTATCTGTCTCAAAAAAAATGTTGAAAATTGGCCTGGACAGGAAGGGGGTAAAAATGTCCGGACTTGAAGTGGTTAAGGACATATTTATAAATCAGTGAATGTGACATTCTTCCCTTCCTCCTTGCAAACGTTTTTTTGTTTTTTTATTAGTGTACACTGAGTTGCTAATGCATATCTTAGTGTACAATCCAGTCATCTGTTGAGTGTTGGAATAGAGTAACTCCTGTGTGCATGCGCGGAAGTTACATTATCCCAACATTGCCAGTAATAGTACCTGAAGATCGTGGAAGAAGAATGAGCAAAGATGTTATCAGCTGAGGTATTTTCAGATTTTCATTCTGCTTTAACCACCTGTGAATGTTGAGTGAAAGTTCATGAACAGTGCAGTACATATCTATGTTTACATGTCTATTGCTATCATTTATGCCTTTTTTGGCCATAGATGTCTTTTACATAGTGTTCTACAGTAAGTTTTGTCAGTGCTCATTAAAAACTAATGAAGGGTGATTTGTTTGACCTCCGAAACTCATTGGTTACATTTTTTTCTTCCACAAGTCACAATTTCATCAGAAATAAATTATTATTAATACTATTATATAGACATGTAGGCCATATTCACACTTGAGTGTAGCATATTCAAATAACAATAAACACTTTTTCTGCATTTTTTCCATGAGCTTTAGGAGAGATTTGCTGTACAGAACAGGGGCGGACTGACAACTCATGGGGCCCCCGAGCAATAGGGGATCATGGGGCCCCTGTGTCCTTGCCCAAACTCAAAAAAGCCTATGAAAAAGGTACCAGGGGCATCTCATGGGCCCCCTACTGACCCCGGGCCCTCGGGCAGTGCCCGTGTTTCCAAATGGTCAGTCTGCCCCTGGTACAGAAACTTCTTTAAGGCAGGATTGCATGTTTTTTTGTTCCTAGACTTTTATTATAGGTGTGCATAAAAAATGTGCATAGGTGTAAACAGGTACCATTTTTAAATAAAATTGTATTTTTAATGTTGAACATTTTGAATCTTTAAACTACAAAATGCTCAGGTGTGTACAAGACATAAGAACACATTCACCCAGAAATAAATTATTATTACTACTAACTATTATACATGTATAGACATGTAGGTCATATTCACACTTGAGTGTAGCATATTCAAGTAACAATAAAGGCTTTTTCTGAAATTTTTTCATGTTTTAGGAGCGAATTTGCTCATTTTGAACATTTTGAAGCTTTGAACTGCAAAATGCTCATGTGTGTACAGGATTTAAGAACACATTCACCCATTTTTGCTGCGGTAAAGTGCATCTTAACACAGTAGTACATAGATTTGCCCTGTGGTGCCATTCAGAATTCAAAATAATTGGGCAGCTTTAATGTAGTGTGTCCTAATTTGCAACAATATGTGCATTAATGCAGAGAATAAAGTGAATGGGATACTAGTCTAGACAGCAGGTTTGTTTACGTAGAAATGCAATATACAATTATATGTATGTTTCTATATTCGGCCTTTAATCAACATATGTCAATTGCATGGAATGTCAGCTTTTTAAAATGGTTGATGTCTGAATACTCTGACCTATAAAAGAGAGTTTATGTAATCCTTCAGACTGCTAGTCTCTGAATTGTGAAAGTATTGGCTGTTGTACACAACGTCTCCACTGCCACCTCATTAGAGTGATGCAAGACAGGAAAACTTTCCCCAGCAAATACTATAATGACTGCTTCATCTGTTTTTAGCATATGTCTTTATAGAAGTCTCTTCATGTGCTTGTGAACCATAACAGTAAGGAAAAATCACATCTATTCTATAACACCACATGCCATATACAGATATACAGCGCCGCGTTTATTCCAGGTTAATAATGGAAAATCTGTAAGTATTATAAAATTTTTTGCCTGTTATGTTAAATTTAAAAAAATGGTATTTCCATAGCCTTAGTGGATGTGAATTGGTATCCATAATGATGTCAAAATTTATTTCAAGTAACAGAATGTCCCCAGATTTATAGATGCACCTAGATGGTTTTTCTAATAAACTTTACACCATTCAGCCATACCATCATGATTATATTATTGTGGTTATGGCTGATTGGCATAAGGTTGAGCAAATCTTCTGGGTGTAGCACCACTAAGTTGCCGGATCACAGAAAAACTCAAAAGTTGTCTGGCCCAGAGCAGAGCAGGCCAAGGCATTTGGGAAAGGGATATATGCTCACCAAAGTTGCGTTGGGGCATATGTAGTGGATGGGGATGGGGGGGGGGGGGGCTGTTAACCTTCATTTTTGGAATGTATTAGGACGTACAGCACAGCTTTCCAGAGCAGTGTGCTTTTAGTGAAGCACACTGACATGGCCCCCTATTAAAAACACACCCTGCACACAGTTAACCTTTTGATCACCCCTAACTTCTGGACATCATTGCTTACTACTTGTAAAATCTGTGAATGATCACAGAGGTCACATGGTACAAGGCCATTCACAACAGCCTTGTACCATATGACAAGCTGTGACCAATCACAGCTCACACAGTATTTCTCAATGGCTGCAGGAATACAGCAGGGAGAAGGAGACATTATTGCATTTACAGCCTTTATGGGTGTAAAATCAATCAGTGTAAAAAAAGAAAAAAAAATCTTCATCACCCCCCACAAGTAGTACAGTGTCACTATGGTGACACTGTACTACTAGGGTGACAGTATGTTAAAAAATTAAAAAATATTTTTTGAAAAATTATAATTTTTAGTTCTAAACTAATTTGGGTTTTTTATTTGTTTTACTAAAAAGATAGATAAATACATTTTGGCCAAGATTTATGGAGAAAGATTATTTATTTGCAAAATAAAAAACACCTTTTTTTTCAACATTTTTGGAGTTTTTAATTTATATAGCAAAAAAATAAAAATCCCAGTGGTGAATAAATACCACCAAAATAAAGTTTTATCTTTCTCAAAAAGAATGCTAAAAAATTCATATGGGTACAGTGTTGCATGACCGCGCAATTGTCATTCAAAGTGTGATAGCACTAAAAGCTGAAAATTGGCCTGGACTGGAAGAGGGTGAAAGTGTCCGGACTTGAAGTGGTTAAGACCCCTATTAGTTCATTTATTTGCTGCTTGTTTGCCATTTGGGGAGATTCATCTTGCTTT